TCTCTCTCTCTCTCTCTCTCTGTGTGTGTGTGTGTGTGTGTGTGTGTGTGTGTGTGTGTGTGTGTGTGTGTGTGTGTGTGTGTGTGTGTGTATTATGTGCGTACACACACACAAGGAAGCACTCCCCTTGGAACCCTTTGATGATTGGAGGGTGAACGCGGCAGCCAGCAACGGGTCGGCAGCTAGCGACGGGGCAGCCAGTTCAATTCAAGACGGAGTTGTCGGTGCGCTTCGCACATCGACGGTCGCAATGTCCTAGTACTACATGTAGGAACCTGGCAGTCTAAGAACTGATGGGTGGGGTGGAGGGACGAAGGGGGCGGTGTGGCTATTGATCCCTTGATAGGTAGATATCAGTCACATGCCGGGGACATGTTATCCACCGCCGCTTCAACAGATGAACCTGGCCCCGTAGGCAAGTGAGCTCTGGAGCAACTATAGGGGTTCCCATCAGACGCAATCGCTCGCTACGCCCTGACCGTTGGTTTGTGAAGTCCATAGCAACTAACCGGCAATTCTCAAAAAAAAAAAAAAAAAAAAAAAAAAAAAAGCAACTTACCGGTACCCTTGTGGTGGTTAGCCGTTTTCGTTTGATTTTGGACTATTTCAGATTTCTCGATTTGTGTATGGCATGCTTGCCTAGGGGGCCAGGGGGCATGCTATTTTGTTCCAATTTTGAACTGAGTCTCCTGTTCTGTTGATACGCAGCCATCTTCCAAGAGGGAGATGTTACGCCAGCTGTCAGTTTTAGGAAAGATCGGCCGCAAATCTCAAAAATGTTGATCTCATAGAACTTAGACCACATGTTCTCCACAGGTCCCCACCAAATGATGGAGTGACCTCAATAGGGAAAGCTGCTTATATCACTCTCCCTTGTAGAACCTGCAGAGTCTCGGGGAGAGGGGGGGGAAGGGGGGAAACCACATGTTCTCTTCCCATCCGTAAAGCTGTGCCTTTTTTTGTTCGGTGGGCGGACAGGCTTTCGTTAACAGCATTTCATATTCTTATCATACGACCGCCTTCCTCAATTATCCCCCCCACCCTTTCCTCTCAACCCCCCTTTCCTCCCCCCCCTCCTCCTCTCGCCGCTCCCCCATCCGCCCCAAATAGTGAGAAGTACAACATCTGCTATATCGCTGGCTCTATGCTATTTTTCCTCCTTTCGAAAAAGAAACTCCTATTCTTCAACCAAAAAAAAAAAAAAAAAAAAAAAAAAAAACCCCCTATTCTTATACACGCCGTATTCGTACAAATGGGTCTGCCAAGTCTTTTTCTTTTTCTTTTGACGTTTACCAAAGCTCCAATCGGTACAATTGGCCAATTGATTTTCAGCCGTCAAGATGCATGATCTCTACGGCTGACAATCTATTGACTGTGATGTTCTAGTATCCTCCCTTTTGTTTTTTATTTTTTTGTATCCTCGCATTTCATCTGCCTATGGCCATCCCTGTTGTTATATCTTTTAGGCAAAACTCGGACTTGGTACCTATTACCGTTTCTATAAATGGGAGTTGGCTTAGAGCATAGTCGTACATCCGTAGGACTTGCCTCAATGAGAGTATAAGAGCCTCGTTCGACACCACTTGAAAATACTTGAGTTTCAAGTGCACACTAAAAGAGAAATTGTGGTTAATTTACACTTACTCGATTTATTTTTTATTTTTTATTTTTTTTTAACTTACTCGATTTATGGTTTCATGTACAGTTGAGGAAACCCGTTGAACAGGCTGCACTTGAAACCGAGCTCCACGGCTTGACCAATCCTGGACCAGGATAGCCTGCTGGCAAAAAAGAAAAACTCAAAAAAAAGTTCCACTGCTTGACCAATTCTAGCTCAGTTGGTTAGGCATGCAAGTGGCATTCAGGAGGTTGTGGGTTCAAGCCCCATGGCCGCCTGCGGCGCACTTAGTGCCAACGGACTGTGATAGTCCTCTGGATACCCCCGATCCGTATTAGCGGGGTCTATGACCAACACGGGTGTGAGTGTGAGCGCGAGTGGGTTGTGTGTGGTGTGTGGGAGAGTGTTGGCCATAGCCTCTGCTGCTACTGGATGAAGGGTGGGGGACAATGAGAAAGGGAGGCAGAGCTACTGGCCTTGGTCTTTGTGTTAGCCAGACCCCCACTGGCGGCCCCAACCCTATACCCTAACCATTAGGGGCAAGGGGCAACATGAAATCTCCCCTTCACAGAGCAGAAAGCTTGTCATGTTTCTAACTCAACAGGTTTGCAAAGAGGGAGGAAGGAACTAGTGCTCAGCTGCAATGACCTGGCGCCTGATGATAAGGCGAAGAGGTTCTCTCCCTGTCTTAGAAAAGCCTGCACAGATTAATGATCATCGTCAGGGTTCTTCTCCTTAATTTTCAGATAAGGGACGCTGAGCCCGGTTCTCAGCAAAGTCTTGTGTTCACTCCGGGTAGACTGTGAGGACCCCGGCCTCAAACCTTCTCATGGATAATATCAGCCTTGGGCATTGGGCCCATTTTGAAAAAAAAAAAAAAAAAAAAAAAAAAAAAAAAAAAAAGGAAAACTATGCTTGCAGGGGTCCCCTCTAGATAGTCTTGGGAGTAGGCAGTGGAAGGTAAGACAAACAGAAGTTGAGAGAAGAATATAGACAGTTGTGATCACCCCTATAAAAAAAAAAAAAAAAAAAAAAAATCCTGGACCAGGATGGCCTGCTGAAAAAAAAGAGAAACCGAAAAAAGGCCCCACTTGGAGTGCTGGCGGTATCCCCTCTCACTTGAACTCAAGGCTCCCCAGAGAGGTAGCTTGGGAGTTCAAGTGCGATTTTGCCCCCAGAGAGGTAGCTTGGGAGTTCAAGTGCGATTTTGCCCCGGGGGCACTTGAGTTTTGAGGGCGGGCACTTGAGAGCCCGGAAGTAGAAAGAACCTTGGGAGTTCAAGTGCGATTTTGCCCCGGCGGCACTTGAGTTTTGAGGGCGGGCACTTGAGAGCCCGGAAGTAGAAAGATCCCACCGGCAAAGAAGATTGGAATAAATGTCTGAATCTGGAGGTGTTTGTGGAGAGGTGCAAAAGATTGTGATTGATCTGCTTTTCTGCATCTCTGTGTGGAACACGTCCAGATTCAGACACTTATTCCAATCCTCTTTGCCAGTGGGATCAGGCCAACCAGTGGGATCAGGCCCTAACAACAGTTGGTACACCGCTGAACCGTTGAAATACAGACCTGAGTTCGGACTCGACTGAGAGCAGATGACTAAAATACTACAATTCTAACCTACCTAGGACTGATCTGCTCGATAATGATATCTTTTTTTCTTTTCTTTTTTTCTTTTTTTTTCTTTTTTTTTTGGAAGCGTCATCCTTGCACAGTGGCCGTGCTCCGTATCGTTCCAAAGTACGTCTGGGCCACCTTCCGGACTGCTAAGGATTAAGAGATATCGGCCGTAGACATGACGATCAACGGCGAGTATCTCTTGACCATGAGAATCCCAGTCCTGATAGTATGCCCTTAGCCGCCGCCTATGCACATCAGGAAAGTGAAAAGGAGGCCGCCTTTGTTGTGGGGCGGATTGGAATGGAGGGCCCGAGCGGGGACATAGGGGCGCGGGGGCGGGGCCGAGGGGAATGACGAGAAGGCATGACGAGCGCGTTCACAGGTGGGAGGAAGGAACAACCAAAACTTTCTATTTACCCACCAGCCCTTGTGGCTGAATTGTACAGTCACGCAACTGTCAATGAACAGATCAGGAGCTCAAACTGACGGATACAATAAAGTTAGTGACAAAAAGGGAGAAAAACAACTTCCCATCTGCGGCACGATTCCATCCGCAGGGATGGCCGTTGGTCTGCGCAAATCTCGGCTACTGGAATCGTGCCCCGAGGAACCGAAATATAGGACCGACGGTAAGCAAGCTCCCTCCTACCGTGTTCCCCCGAACACAACGCACCCTGATAACAACTGTATACAAGCCATCTTTCCAGTCCGGTGCGGCCAAAATGAGGATGCGTTGTGTTCGACGGTAGTTGGGCGACAAGCCATCTT